TCTCTATTCTACAAACCCAACTACTCTTATATTCAATTATACTATTAGTTTTCAGTTATGGTGTTACTATGTAACCCTATTGATACAAAACCAGTTTTTAATTTCTTCAAAGTATGGAAGACTTTCTTGCCAAGTCTAATGCTGAGACAAATGAAGTTTTGCATGGAATTTCAGAACATTGCTAAGATGGATCATGGCCCACTTCCCTCATATTTTCAGTAACCACTGGACACTTTACCACATTGTTGTATTGCATAATAGTGACCTTCGGTTTCTAGTTTTGAAGCATGTAGTTTTTTTCTTCCACCAAGCCTGAGCATGAGACTTCTTCCTCTTGACTTTTAGAAACTAAAAGAAGTACAATCAACTTTTTGTACAGTGTGAACTTTTCTAGTTTAATCCCATTGTGGCTGTAAACCTTTAATGTTGCCAATTTACTAGGGTAGCTTAATTGTATTGTAATTGATTAATGAATAATCCATGCATACATATGCTAAATTCTTGATGAAAATTCACTCCCCCCTTCCTTTTAGTTAAAATATTTACCACAAAGCAGACTGACAATCATAGTACAAGTTAGTTTCTCACTCCACCATAAATGGTACAACTATCTGTATTAAAACTTGAGAAAAGACTACAGACTTAAAAAAAAAAAGCCATTCTATGCTTTCCATGGTCATATAAAGTGTTTCTAATTTATCCTTTAAAATATTTTGATCAAATCTACATTTAGATGCTGAAAGTGCTATACAAGACTGATGTACACTTAAAAATCAATTATAAACTAAAAATTAAAATTAAAATTTTTTTGGAGAAAAACTTACTTCACTTTCAAATGGAATAACATATGGCTTATTTTCTGAGCAGAAAATCATCATCTGTCCTGACTGAACTGCTTCAGCTTCTTTAATTGATAAGTGATTATTCAAATAGGATACTAAAGATTACCAAACAAAACACAAATACCCAATCCCAGATCTTATTTTTTTTCCAAAATGGGTTTTGTATAAACAAAGTTAACATTACTAGTTTCTTGAATATTCAAGTGTAAATTTATTCAAAAAAGAGTGAAGAGTGAAGAAAATGATCAGAGTTTTAAAAGTAAAACTGTAGGCATTAATGCAACATTGGATGTATCCAACTGGCAATCATACCAATAAAAAGCAACAGAAATTCTTTGGACAGAAATTTTAAAAACCTGGTTGTGATTCTTATCCTTTTGGCAGTGCATATAAAAAAGCACTACTGTTAAAGCTTTTTAAACCCAACTTTCCTTATTTGGAACCTTCCAGAGATATTGGATTGCAACTTCCATCACAACAACAAACATGGCAAATGGCCTTATGACAAGTGGCCTTAAGGTTGGGGCTGAAGAGAGTTGTAATCCATTATGTTTGGTTGGTTATAGCTAGAAAAGTTGATATTCTTCCCAGCTGCTACAATTTACTGATGTGTGAATGGAATGAACAAGAAGACTTACCTTGACAGATAGCTGTTGCTATCAGAACCAAAAGAGGGCCCATTTGCTCTGGAATGAAGGTATCCACCCAGCACAAATCAGTTGTGCTGTGTTATAGGAGAATAATGCCAGTGTCTTGGTCCAGGGAATCTTTCTTAGTGGAAAATAAAGAATGAGGCAATGAAGGCTGTATTCTCAGTTGTGTATTCTTTGTGTCTGGTGCCTGTTGGAGAAGAAGACACTTCTCGTTTTCTGAAAAGACCACAAGTTAGGAAATTTCTAGCTCCAAAAAAAGAACAAGAGTGTGTCATGAACACTCAATAGAAGGGAGGAGAGAGGAGGTACAGCTCAAGGAGGCCCCATTTAAAATACTCTTTTAAAGACTGGTTCAATCACGTTCCAACAGTACTGGTTTGCATTTACAATCGGAAAAGATAATTTGTGAATGGCACCTCCTTTTCAGGCATTCACCTAGTGACAATCTGCAGTGTGTGTGTGGGGGGGGGGCATGTGCAATTGTCTCTACTTGTCCTGATGCAACCACACATGTTCAAGAGATCTGAAATTTTCATGACTGTGCACAAAAATGAATATAGTTGACGTTTATTGGAGTGATGGAATGCTGAGGTTAAATCTACATTGGGCTCTGATGCACGTGATCTATCGTATAACTGGACATGGCTGCACAATGCAGGTGAAAGGTTGGCAAGGTGAAGGCTGAGACCAGAGATACCAGAGCTGGCAAGTGCAGCTTTTCAGCTCTAGACGAGCCTAGTTTAGAAGAGAGATCTAGAAAGGCACAAATGAAATGATATACTGTATATGAAAAATATTTTTTTTAAATGCTGTGGTAAAATCAAGTCATACTGCTTCAGTAACGCTCACGAGATAGAAAACATGACGACAAAAAGAGTTCCATAACTTTTTTGTACTTCTTTTTTTTTTCCTTTTTCAACTTCCTAGGAAATAATAGAAGGATGGAAAAGCAGCAAAAGTAGATTATGAAATGAGGATTGTAAACTACTAAGGAGCATTTTGATTATCGTGGGGTACAAATACTATGTATAAATACATACACCACCGTGCCTCAATAAATTTTCTATGGCTATCTGTCCCTTCTCCCTCCAAAAGGTTAATATTTTAGTGCTGTCTTTGGATGTTTTCACTGCCTGGGCAAATCAATGGCACATGGCCTACATTAAGACTACAATTTGGAACATATTCATTAAACTTGCTTAGTTATTTAGGAACAAATGGACAATGCTAAAAGTGGAGAATACTGCCTGAAGTAAGGTCCCAAATATGCAGAATAGTGATTCCCCACAAAATCATACTTTAACTTTATATGTTCAGGTATTTTTAGTGTGATTACATCATTTTTCAATGAATATGGGTGAATCTGCCCTCCCCTTCCTCCTGGGAATCTGAGGAAATCCTAGGAATGATTACATTATTAAAAGGACAGAGGTTAATTTTGCAGCAGGGAGCATACCACATGGTGGCTTGTTTGCTGATACACTGATATAAGGTATGTTTTGGTAACCAGTTCTGGAAGCAAAATAGAGGGAAATGACAACTGAGCTTTTATTTGAAATTAAATGCCACCTGTCTCACATTACATGGCCAGCTAGACAAAAGGAGCTGAGGGTGCCCAGGGCACAGAAGAAAATGGAATTTGAGTGGAAAGTTTTGGTTATAGCAAACATGAGAAGTTCAGTATCAGGGTGTGCAAGCTGTGTCTGTACAAAAACACTACTTTGAACCACAGTGAAACCAGAAGAGAAATGAGGAGTAGCAACTTTGAAGTTGACCCATGTGGAAAAGGCATCAGGACTGGGACCAACTGGAATTGGATGAGTTGCATCCAGTGAAGAGAGATGAAAATTGCCCAAATGGGGACAGTTAGATAGTATGCAGGAATTATCATTGGGAATGGTAGAGATCTCTACTATGCAAGCAGCTGCTCCATCATGCATGTGGACAAACCTCTAATATCAGCCACATTGTCCAAATATTATTTATTTATTATTTATTATTTATTAATTTGATTTATATACCGCCCTTCTCCCGAAGGACTCAGGGCGGTGCACAGCATATTAAAAACAAGTAACAATAAAATACCAAAATAAAGTTAATAAATACCAAAATAAAAACCCCTCTAAGACCAAATTAAAAGCCAAATATTAGTAGCTGTGTCGTAATTAAAATTATATTAAAAATCATC